TCTCACACACACACACACACACACACACTCACTCTCACACACACACACACACACACACACTCTCACACACACTGTGTTGAATGAAGAAAGGAGTACATGTTGAATGTTAATCTCATGCTTCATTCAGAGCAAGAAGCTTCTGTCTCAGCTGGCTCTGAATACGGTGTGGTTTGTGTGTAGTTTGCGGTGTCTGAACGCGTCAGCTAATAAGCTGGAGAATCTGCCGCCGTCCAGCCTTTCAGAGGAGAGCAGCAGCGTCCTGCAGGAGCTGTACCTGAGCAACAACCACCTGACCGACAGGTGTGTGCCGCAGCTGACCGGACACACACACCTGAGGATCCTGCACATGGCCTACAATCACCTGCAGACCTTCCCAGCCAGGTGACAACATTTACATCATCAATTATTCTCCTGTTTTTAGCACATGCCTGAAACAGCATGACAAATTTGCTTTTGAGTTTTTCAGGACTTCAACACCCACAGCATCAGTTAGTGGAAAGAAGACATTCATGAAAACTCTTATTTATGTAAACATATGAATACATCAGTATATTTCCTTCAGTTATATTTCACAACTTCAAAATAAAAGTCCTAACCCCTGCTTTGATTTCACGCTCACGTCATTGATGTTTAAGAAATGACAGCAGCTGCAGGGAAGATAAAGTGATAGGACCTTTTGAATTCAATACAGTTTGACCAAGATTAAATAAGGATTTGATTTTAATAATTAATATCATGCTGCAAAGTGTAACAACAGTCACCAGGCAAGAACTTCATGCACATAATCATTATTATCATCAACATTACTAGTCATGATTGAAGAATACAGTGAGGACTTTTTCACTAATGTGTGTGATGTTAATGTTTCTTTTCATTGATTCGTCTCTTTTGCAGTATAAAACAGCCTGATGGCCACACATTTTAATGTATTTTAACAGTTTTATTTAATAATATCGTAGGATGTCTTTGTTTTTGACACTCTTTTTTTATCCAGTCATTATTGTCATATTGGTGTTATATGTGAAAGTTATTTTTAAAGGATTCTTCAGGTTTTTAAAGGCTTTTAAAGGTTTCCATTTTTTTTCAACAAAATCTTTTCCATTCCTTAAAATGCACAGCAATTATGGCAAATCTCACGTTGAAATTATGATTTTTATTTTTATTCACAAACTGACACTGATGATTGATTAATTTTACTAACATTTATGACACTGCTTCATATTAAAATATTAACATTTGTGTTCTTTCTGGAGTCCCGCTGATCTTTTCTAGACCGTCTCTGTGTGGTTTGTCACTTCCTCTTCCTCTCAGTGTTAATCGAGCCAGCATTGGACCACAGGGACATGGACGTTTCTGAATGAATATGTTCATCAAATCAATATTCCCTCGCTCTGCTCTGCAGTAAAATGGCCAAGCTGGAGGAGCTGGAGGAGCTGGACCTGAGTGGGAACAGGCTGAAGGCGGTGCCCACCACCATCATGAACTGCAGACGCATGCACACACTAGCAGCTCACTCCAACTGCATCGAGGTGTTCCCCGAAGTCCTGCAGCTCACTGAGATGAAGGTCACATCACACTCATACTCACACACACACACACACACACACACACACTCACACTCTCAC